GCGCCCGCCGCCGTCCGCGCGCAGGAACACCGCGGGGCCCCGCTCCTGGCACGGGCACGCGGCGCGCCGGGCGGGGATGTGAGCGCGCGCCGCGGCATGGCAGCCTCAGGTGGGTCTCCTCCCCCTGCGCCCTTTCTCCGGGCCCTTGACCCCCGCCCTCCTCGGAGCGCGGCCCCGCTCTCACGCCTTGTCTTTTCCGGTGAAGCGGCTCCTGCGTTCTTTCTCTCGCTTCTTTTCTCTGTACCCACCTCAACTTTCTCGCTTTCTCACTCCTAGCTTGTTGCGCAATTCTCATCCGCCCGTGCCGACCCCTCTTGGCTCCCCACCATCTCCTTTCCTCCCTTTTCAAGGGCCCTCACAACTTTTATTGTATGGTCCTCCTTGTTTCTCGAAGTCCTAAATTGTCCTAAGAAGGCGGATTTGTCCACACCGCTGGACGGATTCGTGTTAGGGGTTCTGTTGACCAATAGGGGGCGCTCACACAGCCCCTAGGTGGGCACCACCAAGTCTGCGTGGAGCCTGGGCCGCTTTCCCAAATGCTCCTTGCTCCTCTACCTACCCCAGGTTGTGCTTTTAGCCTAGAATTTTACTATCTTACGGGCTGCCAAAAGAACAGACAAGCCTGTCTGGGAGGAAGTGCAACCAGGAGGCTTCTTAGAGGAAAGGATGGTGAAACTCACATGCATTGGGCATGTCAGGAAGGCCCAGTCCTTGGACAAAGACATCATGTTTGGAAAGGTGGAGAGGCCGAGAAAGGAGCCTCCAACAAAATGGGTTGACAGAGTGACTCCAACAATGAGACTTGATCCTATCAGAGATCCTGAGCATGGTGTACAATAGGGCAAGTCTCAGCTCTGTTGTCCATCAGGTTGCTGGGAGTCGCAGTCGGCTTGATGGCACCAAATAACAATGATAAGAATCACTTAGAAGCCTTGGTGTCAGAGTGTGTTAGGTCTTGGGCTGCTAACCCACAGGTGAACAGTTTGAATCCACCCTTGGTTCTGTAAAAGATGTGGCAGTCAACTCCCATAAAGATTATGGCCATGGAAACTCTAAGGGGAAATTCTGCTCTGTCCCATGTAACTTTACATTGATAGATTTTATTGATAAATAGACAAATAGATCTTAGAAAAAGTACAGCCAGAGTGCTCCTTTGAGGCAAGGCTATTGAAACATCATCTCATATACTTAGGGCATGTTGTTAGAAGAGGCCATTCCTTGGAAAAAGATATGCTTGGATGGTTTGAGGATCAGGGAAGGAGAGAAAGACCCTCAACCAGATGGAATGACACAGTGACTGCATCAGTGGGGTCAAGTATATTAGAGATGATGGTACAGGATAGGGCAGGGTTCAGATCTGTTACTCATAGGGTTCACCATGAGTCATGACACACAACAACAACAACAACAGTTTGGTGAAAGGAAGAAAGGTTGCAAAAATGAATACTTTGCATTTGAATGGATAGTAGGCACCTGCTTAAAATAGTCTCAGTGGTGATGAGGACACACCTAGTCTGTGCTCACAAGGAATTTATAGTCTTGTGAAGGAAAGCCATAAGAAAAAGGGAATTACTAGATGAGAAGATAGTTTACTTTAGAAATGGGCTTACTTCTGTTTATCCAACCCACTGTACAATGTTTCAGTAGAGATAACTTGTGAAAACAGAATGCAGAAGCCTTTTGAAAGATAGTATCTGGTCTTCTAGGAGAATTTACTGTTCCAGAGGATGTGGGCAGATGCTAGAATAAAGAATCCGCTCTCCACAGATCCCTGAAGGTAACCGTGCTTTGAAGCAGGAGTAGAAAAAGGCGAGTGGTATGTCCTGATATTAAATAATCTGACTCATAATTTAAGGGAGCCAAGAAGGTGGCTAATCTTGGCTGCTTAACTCTGTAGATAGGTTCTGAAATTAGGAGAAGCTGTTTTGTGGGCAAGTGATTCTTTTGGCAAGTTTTGGCAAGTTGCCATGACCCTGAATTGACTCACTGACAACTGGTTTAGTCTTTGGTAATAGCAGTCTCCTGTTGTTAGGTGACTTGATGGAGTCACCTTCTACTCATAGTGACCTGATGAACAACAGATCTGAACCTCGCCCTTTCTTGCACCAGGCTCATCCTCTTGTATGGGTCCATCTTATTCAGGGTCTTCCCCTCCTTCTCTGAACCTCCTCTGTCTTTCTTAGCTACCCTGATGTTGCCTGTGTATCATTGAGTGTTGAATTGGAACTGACCCATCACAGGTTTAGAGAGGCAGTTAATTACATGGGAGGAGATGGCCTAGCTTTCTCCTGCAGAGCACCTGGTGGATTTGAACCACACTCCTTTGAGTTGCCAGCACAACTCCTTACCAATAGACTACCAGAGCTCCCTGAGCTAGCCTCTCATAACTGTGTGCTGTCAGGTCAGAACTGACCCAGAGCTGACCCTGAAATGGGTTTTCAGAGGCCAACAGTTGCAGCAGAGGAGCTTACCCATCTTCCTCCTGCGTAACAGCTGGTGGTTTCAAGCCATGTGCCTTTGGGCTTGCAGTGTAGGTGGTGAGAAAAATCCCTCACAGAGAAGTTGGAGCGTCAAGTTCACCTGGACTTGGAAGAAAACCTAGTGGATTCAAACTGTGTGAGTTCGGGATTGGAGCTCAGGTTCTTTCCACTAGGTCACAAATTATATGACGGATGTGTGCTGCATGCCTCCTATTATCTGACACTGTTGTAGGTGCTGGGCAAACGAAACACACAATAAGCCATATTTTCTTGTGTGGAACATATGGTGTAATGGGACAAGGTAGGCAGTACACATAATAAGGAAGATATATGGGATTATAAGTGGGAAAAAATACCCACAAAACAAGGGGAGCTCTGGTGGTCTAGAGGTGAGAAGCTGCTCTGCAATCCCAAAGGCACACCATTTGAATCCATTAGAATAATTGTGAGAAAAAAACCAAACCAACAGTAGAAGGGGTGAAGAAGATTGGGTTATAATTTTAAATCAGGTGGCCAAGTCAGACCTCATAGAGAAAGCAACATTTGAGGAAGGAAATGAAAGAGAAAAGGGAGAGAAGTATGTGGGGGAAGAATTTTCCAGGCAGAAGAAGAGTAAGATATTTATGGTCTGTTTAAAGAACAGTGAATAGGCTCAAGTGTCCAGAGCAAGCAAATGAGGAGAGACAAGTAAGAGATGAGGCTGAACAGTGAAGTTCAATGGATGAACTAGTGAAGTACCCACTTCCTTCCTGGCTGAGAACAAGCCCTGAACTGCTGAGTTTAGGGAATTGCACATCTAGAGGGCCTTTGGCCAGACACAAGCACCTTTGTCCAGAGCCTGCTACACATTGTTTCAGTGGATGTGACTGAGGGGACTAGAAAGTGTTGTCCTATTCAGATGAGAACCCTAGTTCAGTGACCAGACCTGAGACTATTTATGGCTCTGTAGTGGCTTCTGCAGACATCTGCAGTGGTTAGAGGTCAGACCCTCTTTTTGTCAGCATCCTGTGCAGTGAGACACCACTCTAGGTGCTGCATTTGAGAGTTGGGCCTCTGGAGTCATTAGGGTCTCTGGGGCTCCCTGAGGTCCAGAGGTACAAGGACTCATGGAACCATGTCATCCTGGTGAGAGCAACACTTTTCACCAAGTGCTACAGGCTCGGGACTCCACACTTCAGTGTTGTCTTTTCTTTCTTCTTCAGAATTGTTTTATTCAAATATAATTCACATACTACACAACTTACCTGTTTAAAGTGTACAACTTAGTGGTCCTAATGTTTTCACAGGTGTGTGAAACCTTCCCTACAGATAATTGTCTAACATTTTTTTTTTCACCTCAGAAAGAAACTCAGCACCTTTCACTGCCACTCCTTTATTTCTTCCCTGCCCACCAGTGCTAGCAACCACCAATCTGGCTTTTTTATTTTTATAGCTTCTGCTATTCAAGATTTTCCAATGAATGGAATCACATAGGATTTGATCTTTTATGACTCGTTTCTTTGACATAGCATATTTTTCTAAAGATTCACCCAAGCTGTAGCACTTAGGAGAACTTTGTAATTGTTTGTTGTTGAATCATACAATCTTAAATTCCCTGCTTCTGAAGCTACAGTCTCTATTTTCCAGAAGGTATGTTTGCTTGTTGAAATGAAGGAGAATGCAGGTGTTGTGTCATTGTAAGAGCCCTGGGAAGCAAAATAAAATGAAATTTGTATCATCCTATCCTGGCATATTCTCCATACCCCTGGTGGAATCTTATATTTTATACATGTGAGAGAGAAGACATACACTCAGAGAGAGGGAAAGAGAGGCCAGGTGACTTCTTTAATGAGCAAGTCTGGCAAACACTGGAACCCAGACCTCCCTTCTTTTCCATCACAGAGATAATACAAGTAGATGGCTTTTGCAGTCTAATTAATTTTCCTTACAGTTAGAAGAGGAGACATCCAAATTCAGGTTGCTGGTTCTGTTGTTGTTATGTGCTGTCAAGTAGACTACGACTCATAGTGATCCTGTGCACAATAGCCCTGAGCCCTGTCCTATCCTGAGCCAGTCTCACTGTTTCTGACTTGCCTATCCTCATTACCCCAGTTACTGTGTCAAACTATTATCTCATGTGGGATCTTCTTCTCCTGTGCTGTCACTCCACCCTTCCAAGAATGAAGTCCTTCTCCAAGGAATGGTCCCTCCTGGCAATATGCCCAAAGTATGTAAGCAGAGCCTCAAAATCCTTGCCTCCACAGAGTGACTTGGTTTCACCCTCTCTAAGAGAGTGAACTAACATATCTGTTAGTTCTTTTGATAGTCCAAGGCTTTCTCTCTCCCTCTACTAATTCTGGAGGAAAGTCTTTGTCACCTTTAGCAACTTTAAGTAGGTCTGGTGTGGAGATATCTACCTGGCTTTACATTTGCCTTGTG